ACGATGTGAATACGAAATAAAATCGAAATTTCAGGAAAAAGCCGATTTGCTTGGTGAAAAGATCAGAAGTGAGATCATGAGAGGTGCCAAAGAGAAAATTCTCCATGAAATCGACAGTTCAAGTACGGAGATTAGTTTTCCGCTCTTTAATGGTGTAGTGCAACAAGTTAGAAACGCTGCTATGCAGGATGTAAGCGATTTTTTCATTCTTTGTGGTTCGATTTAGTTCAACCGATACGTTTTTGTGTTCTTTATCAAATTTTAGTTCGACGCTAAAAAGATGGGAGACAATGATGCTTCAAAGGGTCAACGTGAACGGCTCGAAAGCGATCTCAATGTTTTAAATGGCGCTTTGAGTGGTATAGTGGATTCTTATAGCCGGGCCGTGCAATCGTACACCGATTCAATGCAGAAATCGATCAATGACAATGAATACTTCAGCCAAACTGATTTCATGAAGATTCATCAAGCTACGAAAACCGAAACAATGCACCAGGTTGGTTACTTTTGTGTTTATGACACTTCCGCAATTTTTTGTTTTTTTCCCTTCAATATTTCAGTTTCAAACACAACCAGGTGACAATGAGTTTAAATGGGCAATTCAGCGCAAAATCGAAGCAAGCATTGAACAGAAATTCCATACATTTGAACCAACGAATGCAGCAAAACGACAAGATTTCATTGTGAGTCTTAAAATAACCTGGTTCAATTTTACCCTTTATTCATAACTGATATTTTTTCAGCAAAGAGCGAATGCCCACAGCGAAGCCGTAGTCGGGGAGTTGAAAGCGTCATTCGAAAATAAAGTGCGATCTGGAATCGGAAAATCATATTTAAGTGACGATGATTTCTTTGGATTGTTTTCAAATTCGAAACAAAGTACTTTGCAAGAGGTTTGTAAAGCTAATGTTTCTTTATGTTTCTCAAGCTAATTTGAATTTTGTTTAGTTTGCTGCCAGAAAAATGGGCAACGATGAACTCGCCAATCAAGCCTATCAAAGTTTCCGCGAAAAGCTCGAACGAGACATAGACAGTTTACAGATCACATTGAAACAAGTTAACGAAGCGAATAAACCACCGCCAAAGGAGCATAAGAAAAGTGGATGGGTTAAATTTCGCGATGGAGTTATTTCGGCAGTGACACGAGTGGGTGTCTCATATAGTTCTGGTGGACTCGATGTGAATGTAAATAACGGTTGACTTAATGGCAAATATCGACTTGATTCAAACGCCATTTTATTTTAAAGAAGATTTTAAATAGTTTTTTAGAAATATTCAAGCAATAAAAGTTTGATAGCGTACGTGTTGGTTGATTTCTGTTTTTGTAAAATAGCGATTCATAATATATGGGGAATGCTTGTTTGAAACTTCTTCATTCTATTTTATGTTATATGCAATCATTTCTACTTTTAGTCCAAACAATATTTAAAGCAAACAGCATTCTGACCACAATAAACGCTTGGCAAAGATTTCTGTTAAGTATGGATCGAGCAAGCTATTTACATTTTCATAAGATTTCAGCTTTTCTTTCATACTTGCATTGACTTAAGTCAGCAAGCCAATTCACCCTACTTTACCAACCATCACCTGAAAATGGAAAAAATAAAGGCGACAGTATGAAAAGAAAATCGAAAATATTACAAAGTCAATTCAATTTATTTGTGAAAATGAGAAAATTCATTTGTGACATTTGATTGTTACAAGGTGTTTCAATTTTGTGATATGAGAAAAATATTTCGTCAGTTTGAAAAAAGATTATAGAAATTTTGTGTTATAAAAAATATTTTGAGATGAAAAAAATGAGCTCGAATTCACGATTAGATCTTGAGACTGTGTTTGTTTTTCATGTGCAGATTAGCTTGTTCAAGCATTGAAAAACGAGCATCGCAACGTTTGCATGGAAATGGCCTTTCGCCTGTGTGATAATTGCGCATGTGTAGTTTTATTTGTGTTAAATGATGATTTAAAACTTTGCACAAATAACACTGATAAACGCGTCGCTTGCAGTGTTCTTCGTGTACATTCTTATCAGCATCTTCGACAAATGGCATAAGGCATTTGGAGCAATGGAACGGTTTTTGTTTGGAATGTGAAGCCAAATGTCGCTTGAGTTGAACTTGTTGAACGAATTTCTTTCCGCAAACACCACATGTAAATTGTTTCTCGCCAGTGTGATGGACTTGCATGTGCCGCTTCAAATTGGTTTTGTAAAAACATTTGTATGTGCAAAGATAACAATCGTATCGCCGGCCTTCGCAATGATTCTCATGCGATTGTTTCTTGTTTTCATCAGCAAATCGTCGACCACATTTGTCGCAATCAAATGGAAGTTGTTTAATGTGAGTTCGTGAATGAGCATTAAGATTAAATTTTTGTATAAATGTTTTGGTACAAATTCGGCATTTGAATGGTCTCTCGCCACTGTGTGTTCGTATGTGTTGCTTCAGATTTGACAATTTACGAGTGGTTTTCTTGCATAAATGACACTGATATTGAGGATGTTTGCATTCACTTTTGTGGTTGATTTTATCGATTTCATTTGCAAAACCATGGCGACACTTCGAACAGCAAAATGGAAATTCAGCCGCACGAGTTTTCTTATGACGACGCAAATTTGGCTTGTGTGCAAAAGCCTTGGCACATATTTTACATGCGAACGGCTTTCCGCCCGTGTGGATACGAATGTTCATGTTTTTGGCCATTTGTGATCACTTTTGCTATTTTTGTATGAATGTATACCCAAACTTAATTTTATCGCAAAATAAATGTCAGATTCGGTTTTCTCATACCCAAAAACCCTCCAATACAAATTTTCACATCATTTGAAAAAAAAAAAAAAAATTCAAAGGCGTTTAAGAGGGCGGGAAGAATACGGATGGGTCCGCTGCGCGATTTCCACATGCATTTTTTTAAGAAAAAAACATTACAGGTGTTCTCCTAGGATCCTCCTACATAGGTTATGTGGGCGTACATACTTGAATTCATCATTATTTAAAAAAACGCTGCACCCTAATATGCATACAGGAACGAATGAAGTCCAAGTGTGAATCCAGATGTCTGTGTTCGTTGAAGTGCTTCGTTGACAACAATATTATAGTCTAATTTCAAAGGATTTTATTCGGAGACATGCTTCAATGAGTTCAATTATCGAAACTTTCAATACATTGTGCCAAAACAGTTCCCAAACTTAAGAGACTTTAAAAAAATATATGGAAGGAATTCTATTTTTTTTTTCCAGTTAATATTTCATTCAATAAATATTACAAAATGTGTGAAAAAATGCCATAAATGAGATGAGTTGTTGGACGCACGATCACGCGTTTACCTAGAAACTCAAATATATACAATGAATATTTATGAGGGAAAAAAATGTTAATGTAAATAGAAACAGACGGCAAAAATGTAAAACTTTATCTATTGTTTCCATTGGAATATTACAGATTCTACTACGATCTCGCTCATCAACCGCATCTGTTCACTCACTTGTTTCATTCGCGATGGCATTCTGGCATATTTTGGGCTTTTTGTCAATTTTATTGGTAAGAATTCATAATTTTAAAGAAACTTTTTCGTTTTCTTCATTCAAACATGTTGACTCTGTTCAGATTTGTTTGGTTTACGTTGTGCAAGCCGACGAGGAATTTAAAACCATTGGCAATTCAACAAGCGGCAAAATTAATATGGTTGATATTAAGGTTCCAGTTAAAAGCTACAATAAGGCAAAGAAAGCAATTTCTCAAAAATGGTGGTACGAAAAGTACGCGCAAGTGACGATTCAATTTAGACCCCTTTGATTCTAATTATATTAAAAAAAAAAAAAACTGATTGTATTCTCGTAGATGTGCTGGCTCAAAACCGGGAAAAGGCCTGAAACATTTATACAAAAAGCTAAGACATCAAATTCATAAAACAGTCGCCATACTCCAATCGGAGGCGTAAGCTCTTCAATGTCTTCATTTCAAAAGAAGTTCGATAAATTTGCTGGTCAATTTCAGGGATTTGGACGAAATTGCCGAAAAAGTGAATTCAAGAGTTAAACAGTTTATGGAGTCATATGACAAGGATGCCCAAGAAGGTAGCTTCACCGACATCGAATTCGAAAAGTAGGCACATTTATCGTATGATTCACACTTTGGCACATTCGGTTAAATTAAAATGTGTTTCTATTCAACAGAGTTAAAATGGAATTCAGTTCATATGCTTCAAAAATGAAATTACTTCGTGAAAAAATGTAAGTGTGCTCGATTAATTGATGCTGTGTGCTTTATTTATTTGATTGGCATCGTAGTGTGTTGTATTAATGGAAAAAAAATATGTATTTTTCTTGCAAAGGGGTGAATTCAAAAAGAAACGGGGTAAAATTTATTCGTACTGCATGGATATGCTGGAAAATATGAGATTCATGAAAGCGGCCGGGCTCAAACAAACAAAATGGAAAAATCTTTCGATACTTGGCAATTCGGGAGTACTTATGGGATATGCTGGATTCGCCGGTTCCAACTTAATGAGCAATTCAGGACAAACTAATTAATTTCTTTTGTTCATTCTGATGTCCAATTAGTTACAAATAAAATTCCATGAAAATTTCAAAATAATGTCATTGACGTCAAATGCAAAGCAAGATAATTTTTCATTTATTTACTTTGAGATCAAATTTGACGGTGAAAGAATACGAATGGTGTGTATGAAAGTTGCTACAATATTCGAATATAACCGGATTTTAATCAGTTTAAATAGAACTTGAAAGGAAATGTCGAAAATGGCCAATTTTTTTGTGTTGACAAAAAAAAAAGGAATTTTGTCTTCAATGCGGAAATATACAGGGTGTCTCATATATCAGGCTCACTATCATGGCGTGTGAATTTTGAAAAACCCTTTGGGGGTATACTGGGGGTAAAAAATGGAAAATCTATCGGAGCAGAATTTTGACTTTTTCCTCAGGGGAGCAGGGGTTGCACCCCATTTTTCAAAACTTCGTCGGATCAAAAAATAATGTACTACAAAGTTGTTCAGAATGACGATAGAAATTTTTGAGGACCCCTGCCCTCCAAGTCAAAAACCCCCAAAAATGATTTTACTGATTAAATTGTGTAAGGCTATTGTTACGGTCTAAACGGCAACATATGACAATGGATCATTCTTTTCTTTCACTTTGAATTCTGCAATACTTTTTTCTATTTTGTTTGTTAGATCACTTTACATTTGCTATATTTGTTTATGTATCTTTTCCTATTCTATTTTGCTGACTATATAAAACATTGAACTACTTTTCTATATATTAACCTATTTCCTGATTGTAAACCATATAAATACCGAATGAAAATTTAAAAAAAAAAACAGTTTTTTTTTCAAATCACTCGCTCTGACTTTTCATTTGGATTTTATCACCCAAAATACCACAAAATTGTACATACGTTTGTCAACCTTTTATCTTTTATGCCAACCATTCCTATTTGAATAAAAAAAACATTATGATTTTATATAATGAGAGTGTGTACACACATTTCATATTCGATTCAAATTGTTTAGCATCTGTGAGGATAGCAGAAATATTTATTTCATTTTAATTTTGTGTTGTCTTTTACAATTTTAAAAGATACCGATATTACTTTTCCGCACACACCTAGTGTGTAAGGTAAAGTATTGGAATCGGTCGAAAAATTAACGCCCATCAAAAATGTGTTTTCTGGGTGTTTTTGGGGCCAGGGAACACGAATCTAGCGTTTTTTCGATGTCCGAATGTATGTGCGTGGTACCCTGTACGCTGTACGCTGTACGCTGTACGCTGTACCCTGTACGCAAAAATTTGTTAACACGATAACTTTCAAACAAGAAAAGTAATTCAAAATCTGACTTCACAGGATGATTGGGGGTGCCGAGGAATAGAAACCATTAGATTTTGAGCGACTTTGGTTGACAGGGTAAAGTGTCATGTCTGGTGTGATGCCCATGTCCATCCATGGGAAAAATTCAA